AGACTACCTAGTACAGTTTCATAGATTAGTTGATTGACACAAACAAAAGGCTATTTACAAGTCGTCAAAGCCCCTAAACATACACTTTAAAACTCTCGAAAGATTTATAAAACAATTCAACGGCAACGGCAACGTCTCCTACAAAATTGATTGCAAACATTCCCAGTTTTTCTCCCACGCAGACGCTTTGTACGTGAAATGAAATGTGCATTGGTCTCTTCAAGTAAAGCAAAGCCCCCTCTGATATTCTTCCTAAGCGCTACCCTTGCCGAGCCTACTGATCAAATGAGCATCCTTTGTTTCGAAAATTAGTGTCATAGGTACTAGGTATTACAAGTTCGTGTTTCCAAATGAACGGATCTTGTAACAGATTTAAACCCTCGCACGGTTTAGCAATTTCTTGGGCTATGTATTTCCGGTTTCGATGGAGTCAAATGTTTGTGATCATCCCCAAGAGGAAACTGGTCACTTCTACGGGATGTTTCTTTCTTACATGATTGATTTGTGTGTTTTCCCCCTTTTGAAATGCCCCTAACAATCATGGAATTTCCAGAAGCGAAAAAGAAGGATGATGGAAGCTCACGCATTGATCTCCCAGATTTTGAAGTTACTTATTACGTAGGACGAGGATCTTGTTAAAACATATGGTTTATCACATCAATTATAATTTGTTCCTACGATTGGGAACATTTGGCAAAAACTCCGTTAGACGTTAATGAATTGTTGTGTTTATCATTTGGCGCGAAATAATATCACAAATTCACAATCTATGTGTGACATCGAATTCTCCGAATTCCTCAAGGATTACCCAGGAGGTGTTTACAGGATCTCCACATGCCTATCTGATAACACGTGATAAACATTTCGCGTAGTCTAGACATTTCTGTGTCTTAACGAGTAGGAAGATCAGCCTCTTGACCCTCGAAGATTGGCAATTCTTTCTCTATATCTGCCCAAACCTTGGTGCCGTCAACCAACTCTTTGATAGCCGCCAGGATCTTCTCCTGGGATGCACGGACTTGCTTGGTGGAATCTCTATCTCTCAAAGTGAATGTACTATCGTTAACACTTTGAAAGTCGACAGTAATGCCCAGAGGGGTACCAAGTTCATCGTTTCGGCTATAACGCTTGCCAATAGATGCCGAAGAATCATCAATACGGCTAGAAATACCCATGGATCGGAGTTTATATGAGATTTGCTTCAGGAAGGGCTTGAAACTCTCATGAGAAGAGAGGGGAACGAGCAGTACTTTAGTGGGAGCAACAATTGGTGGGAATGAGAGGACCTATATTTCGTTAGTCGCTACAAATGCATGAGAATGAACAATGACTTACACCACGTGCTTCATCGCCACCTTCGCTACCACGGGTCCAGTAGTTGTGCTCCATCAATGCGTACAAAATTCTACCGATACCAAATGAAGGCTCAATTACATTTGGAGTATATTCTCTGGTGTTTTCAACCCGGGTTCGGAGCTCAATCTTTATAAGATCAGCACCAACTTCGGCTTTACCATCAGCAATTCCATCGACCTCGATGATAATCTTTCCATTGTCTTTGAGGTCCTTTGCAAGAGATTCTAGCTTTTCTTGCGACAGAGCTTCAATAGCAGCCTCAACAGCCTTACCGTCCTTCTTGAATTTAGGGCCAAACTTCTTCTTATCGAGATCAACTTGCCACTCCTCGACACTGATTGGAGTATCTAATCTTTGACGGACCATCAAAGCCGCACCAGTCTTCTTTGCGTGTACGCTGAGATCATAAGCGCTTCTGTCAGCACAACCAACACACTCAACCCAACCAGAGCTGGTATGCAACTCGGCATCCCAGCAATCTGCAGCATAATGAGCCATCTCGTTGGCCATGTGCTGTCTGAATCTAACTTTGGATTGATCAACACCAATCTTTGCAAGGAAGAGCTGAATTCGTGCCAAGAAGTAGCCAAGGGTCTCGTTGTCGACAGTACCGTTTTCGACGGCCTTACCGATAGCCATTTTTTCAACATCAGTTTTACCGGCTAATTGAGTATGGCGATTCAACAAAACAAGCTCTACATCTTTGACGTCGTTGAAACGTTCATGCTTCTTGCCGCCTTCGGGATCGACAAAATGTTCAATCTCAGCCATCAAGAATTCTCGAACTCTCAGTAAACCACCACGTGGAGAGATTTCATTTCTGTATGACTTGCCAATGGAAGCAGAAGCAAATGGCATTTGTTGTTGATTGTATTCGAGAAGCTTGGCGAAGTTGAGAAATTGACCTTGGGCAGTTTCTGGGCGTAAATAACCAGGTGTGTTACTGCTTGGGCCAATTGCAGTCTGGAACATAAGGTTGAAAGCCACTGGTGCGGAAGGCTCCATGCCAGTTTCTGGGTTCTTCATTTCATACTTTTTGATCAATTGACCAAGCTCTTCCCCGTTGTAATTATCAATCTAAAAAGTCAATATTCATACTTGTAATGCCATTAAATGGACGTACCTTGGCCAAAATCTCCTCGTATTCTTGAACAACTGCATCATCGAGTTTCACAGCTTCAATTCCCTTAGTCTTCTTCTTCTTCTTCTTCTTTGATGGGTCCTCTTCTTCCTCGACAACTTTGACACCTCTAGCTTCCTTGTCACCTCTCAACCTCGACTCAAGTATGTCTTCAACAAAATGATCCGCTCGCATGATATCGCCGTTCTTGGGGTCTTTGCACATCCAATCTGCAAACTTCTCAACATGACCACTAGTTTGGAGAACTTCAGCTGGAGTCAATGCTGTGCAGTCCAGTTCCAGCATATCTTCTTCCAAGACGAAATGTTTGCGCCATAAGTCAATAACGTTCGCCTGCAAGGCGCAACCGGGAGGACCATAATCATACTACGTGAAAAGTCAGTATTGCCCAGAAAAAGACTTCCTAGAATCGGCTCAGAGTTTGAAGCTTTATGGGGAAGTAAAAGGGTTGTAAGAGTCGAAACATGCAGAATGTATTGGACATTGGGAGCATTGTATGAAAGACTTGTTGCTTACAAGACCAGCGACTCCATTATAGATTTCGAAAGAGGGAGTATAGAACATGCGCCGCCTCAACATAGAGTCGAGGACTTGACGATCAAGGGGCTGACCCTTAAGGGTGGTAGTGGTCGACATTATTTTGTCCTTCTTTTGTGTTGGTGTTTGGTATTTATGGTGGGGTGTTGTAGCTGTAAAGGTTCGAAATGTGAGCTGTGGGTTTAGCTTTGGTTTGATAACAATATTTCTTGTAAGGCTACAAAAAGATCGCATTCACCGAAGACTCATCCAATGATAGGTATGAGTCAAAGAAAGTCTGGGGAACTTTTCAAAGCTTTGCGATTTATCAAGGTCGTGGGGGAATTTCTTTTTGTGTGACTCGTCGCGAGGGGGACAGCCTTGTAGATCCATCCACCAATCGGGAAGAAGCGGCCGCATACCGATACCAGCTAAAATAATTTTTGGATTTCCTCTTCGGTTTTTCTAGACATCCTTTCCTCTCGGCATTTATTATATCGACATATAATAATCTCACAATGGGTTCCAAACGTGTGCACCCAGCCTCTTCGAAGGCAGCATTACCTTTTAAAACCGGTAATAAATTCAAGAGACAAGATCTTCATATCAAACAAAAGAAGGCTCGTGATAACGATCGCAGAGATATACGCTTCAAACGAAAGAGAGAAGAAGATAGAGATCCCGAATTGAGAAGGCAGCGGTTAGCGAAGAACATTCCACATACAATTGATAATAAGCGTGTTTGGGATGAAGTATCGGGCGATGGAAACGACCTCAATATCAGTGTAGATGTCGAGCAATTGAAGAGAAGGCGCATAGAAGAGGCGGAGGCTGCAGAGCAAGAACCTTTAGATGAAGAACCAGAGGAAAAGGACGATGATGCCGATAGTATGCTGGACTCGGATTCTGAGAAGGGATCAGACGACGAGGATGAAGAAACCGAAAGCCGATCTCGAGCAGTTAGCAATGCGCCTTCAACAACCAGCACAAATCTCGATCTTACACCATCTTCACTATCCCTCAAATTTCCCACACTCTTCACGGATGAACCTCCGCCAGCTCCAAAAATTCTCCTCACAACCTCCTTAAACTCTACACTCCATGCAGAAGCCCATCTGTTATGCACTCTCTTTCCAAATAGCAATTACGTTCCTCGATCGGCCCATCGCTATGGACACAAATATTCTCTACGAGAAATCTGCAAATTTGCTACAAATCGCGAGTATACATCCGTTGTCATGCTCAAAGAAGACGCTAAGGTGCCTACTGGCTTGACAATCGTCCATCTACCATCTGGTCCCACATGTCATTTCTCGATCAAGAATTGGGTTGAAGGGAAGAAGTTGCCTGGTCATGGTAACCCAACAAATCACTACCCAGAACTCATTTTGAACAACTTTCGCACACCATTGGGATTGTTGACTGCGAGATTATTCTTGACACTATTCCCACCACAACCAGAATTACAGGGGAGACAAGTAGTTACGTTGCACAACCAACGTGATTATATATTTGTCCGAAGACATCGATATGTTTTCAGAGAGAAGCGAGAAACGGAAAAGAGCGTAGTAGGACCGGATGGAAAAATCGTGGAAGGTGTAGAGGGGATTAGAGCTGGATTGCAGGAGCTGGGACCACGGTTTACGTTGAAGTTGAGAAGAGTTGATAAGGGAATTGGCAGAGCAGGCAGTGAAGGGGATGATGCTGTTCAATGGCAATGGAAGGCTGGAATGGAGAAGCAAAGAACAAGGTTCAACCTTTAGCCTTGTGGTACTTCATTATTGTACTCCCTAAACATACATAATTTGATTTTTGATACCCTCATATATACAAGTGCCACCCAACATGGTGTTCTTATCCTGCAAGTCTTCAAGTCCGGAATACTTCTAGTTGCTTGCCTCTTCTCCACCCTTCCACATATTCATTGTAACTCTTAGCCCATGAAGAGATAATCCACTACTTTGGAACAATTGAAATCACCGGCCTACTACGATCTACAGTGGTCATAACTTGTGAACTCACTCCCCTTCATCCAACTCGTCAATTTCTCCAAAGCGACGGGATCAATATATCTGTTAGTCTTAATAAAGACCGTCTCAAACGGATTCACATTGACCCCGAGATGAGGCTCTTCGATTAAACCATCTCCCATCTTCGTCGCTGTGCAAAGTTTCTTATATTCCCTTCTTATGTCAGATATCTTATCCTGCTTCTCGGCTACATGTTTTCCAGAACCTTTATGATGATGGCCATGATGACTGCCTTTCTTCTTTTTAGATTCCTCCTGGCCTTTTATACTACCCACTAGGTTAACAGCACACATGGTTGCTTCGACGCCATATCCCGCGGTATCGATAGAAACTGCAGCGCAAGTTGTTGATTCCAGGTACATATTATTCTGATTCGTCCAGTGCGAGTATGATGTTATTCGCAAGCTGGCGCGGTAATATGGTAAGCACATCTTGGGAAGGAAAGAGTTGTGTTTTCATTTCGACAGAATAAGCAGCCCAAAACATAGATTGGATGGGTTGGATGTTGTTCTTGCCGGGGATAATTTTGTAAATATCAATTTCGCCATTCAAGATGAGAATGAGGTCGGCTGCATCATGGAGATCATGATCGTTGAAATACTGGACATTGATTCTAGCTTCAGATGACTGAAAGGCATGTAAAATACGTGGCTCTTCATTTGACGCAGAGGGCTGGATAATTGCTGAAGCAGTCACATTTCCTTCTTAGGTGGACACTTCTTCTGCTCATTGGTTTTTGAGAAAGGAGTTTAACGCGAGTCAAAACATCAAGAAGTGTCTATTCAAAAAATGCTGACTGTATCCCATAGAGAGTGGCCAATTCTTGAGAGGAGAGCACACTTGCAGATTTCTTCAGAATACTCACGATGTCAGTTTCTTTGGCAATAACATAGTGGCATCAAATGCTACGGGAAGTGCCTGGCGTGTTTAACATGCTGTGCTACAAGCTATCCAGCAATGTTTTTGAATCTCAATGCTACGCTACCTGATCATCCCCAGATTGATGGAGCTCAGCAAAGCAATAGAAAAAAGCATGGAGCCAAGATCCCCCGATTGTCATATACGCAAGTCATTGATGACTCGAGCGTCGAGAACCTTCGAGACTGCACTACAACCTGTACTTTGGATATCGATAGCAAAACATGCTCCAGAAATCATCTGAACTGAAGAAATTCTGGTGGTGAAACAAGATTTCAACAACTGACAAAGTACTATGCAAAGACACCCTGTAGTTGAGGCGTTGGGAGCTTTCGTCAAATAGTTTTGAGTTGGTTATGATTCCATTATGCCTGAACTAGACTTCGCTGTGCTTCAAGTATTCAATGATGGAAAGCTTAAGAGATAACTTTACCTCATTCCCTGTACTCTGCATAAATCGAGGGCCGTTATCTATCCCTTGGAATCAAATGAGACTTGAAAGAGTGGGGTGACGTTTACACAAACGATTTCCTTCCAATCTTAGAGATGACTGCCTTATCAAACCAATCTTAACATTATCATCCCCGCGACGAAGAACCGGGAATTCAAGCGGCATGATGAACAAAACGACAAAACCAAAGATACCCAAGCTGAGACATGAATATTATACACTCTTTTAAATATTCGATATCAACTCATGAAATCAATATTTGAATTGAAAATAGAAGAGATATATTTATAAGCTTTTAGTTTATTGTTAGTGTCATACAATCTGGATTTCAATGTGAATGGATGTGGATATGATTATAAGATCTCAAGATGTAAGTAATTTCAACGCAAGATGATCGTTCTATCTAATTGTTAAGTGTACCGTCTTTTTTCGTCCAGACTCCAATTAGAGGATACCTAAATCAACAAGGCAAATAGCTTTGCCGTTATCACACTTCACTGTTAAAGCTTGCCATTGATGGTTATCGGGATATTTCATGATAACTAGGCCGCGGGGTAGTAGCCAGTGACAATTCAATTGTCGAATGAGAGCTCAGAGTTGGTTGTCATCATTGCATGTACTTGCTCTTTTGGGCCTCTAAGTGGAGAGTCCAGTTACACTGCATAATCTCATATCTATATGATCACCGGCCATGATGTACTTCGTGATAAGTTCGTTATACACCTTGACCACTTGAGATGTCTTAAAAACAGAGAGATCATCGCAATGGTTACCTGGCCAAACAACTAGTACCTTCTGTCGTCTGCTACGGTCAAAAGGTAAAAGTCAAACTTATTTCTACAATAGCTACCTCTCATTATCTCTTCTGCGGTTTATATTTGTGTCTTGTTTTACGATGGAGCACACCAATCTTCAACGTGGTGAACTGGACACACGCGCGGTCCCAGGGACCATTCACTTGGTAGATCTCGAAGGTGTGATGAAAGGGCGGCATGCATCTGCATCTCGACTACAAGATGTTGTCCTTGTTCCACCGCCATCCAGCGATCCAGACGATCCGCTAAACTGGTCGCCGAAACGGAAGATGCTATCAACAGCATGCATGTCCATGTATACTTTGATGGTTGGGATAGCATCTGCCGCAGTTTACAGTGTATTGGAGCCCATAAGTGAGGACACTGGCTTAACAGTCGATCAGTTGAACGCCGGCACGGGCTACATGTTTTTGTTTTTCGGAGTGAGTTACACTATTTCGTATGCTTCCTTTCACAGCATAAAACAATGGAAGGTCTAGAATGGTTAGGGAAGCATGGAAGAACGATCGAAGTTTGTCTCAAAATAGAGTCTAGTCCTTTCTTCCTTCCATCCAAAATAAAGTTGTTTTTACGGGATCATAGCAACATATTTGATATCTGAGTACCCAGTCGCTGATGTTGTACTTCGAGTCCAGTGGGGAACTTTAATCGCCCAGCCCATGGCGCTACAATACGGCAAAAGACCGGTATATCTGTTCTCTATGCTAGCAACTCTGGGGTCAGTAAAAGCTTAATCCATTCATTATATTGCTTGTAGAAGTATTGACAGATCAAGTACCATGCTATGGGTGCCGCATGCTACGACAAACTCTGCCTGGATTGGAAGTAAGATTTTACAAGGTGCTGTCGGAGCCCCTATCGAATCACTTTGCGAAATTTCGATTACAGATATTTATTTTGCCCACGAAAGAGGTTCCTATATGGGATTATATGCTTTCATGCTGGCTGGAAGTAACTTCTTGGCTCCAATACTTGTGAGTCGTCAAGAGGTGATAATTGTCCCTTATTTGAGCTTACAACTTTACAGGCTGGCTTTATTAATGACGGACAAGGATGGAGATGGGTGATGTATTGGTGTGCTATCTTTCTAGCCATTGGATTTGTATTCTGCTTCTTCCTTATGGAGGAGACAAATTACGATAGGGCACCTCAAGAAAAGACAACTTCCGGAGACGACATACCTGGAATGGCCACACCAACAGAAGGAGTGCTCCAAGAGAAGTCTTCCGCTTCTTCAGGACCACTTGACCCCGAGAAAGGTACTTCTACCGATGTCTCAAGAGCAGCTGATCAGAGTACTGAGCTCAGAACCGTGCATTACAAGCCGAAGACATATATCCAAAAGTTGTCTTTAAAGGATAAGAAAAGAGATTTCAGGCTCTTCCGGATGATGATTCGGCCTCTTATCTTCATGTCTCTACCATCGATTGCCTACGCTGGATTCTCGTATGGCAGTAATTTAATCTGGTTCAACGTCCTCAATGGGACTGCCTCCTTGATTTTGAGTGCTCCGCCTTATAACTTTTCATCTTCCATGGTCGGATTATCTTATGTCTCTCCCTTGCTTGGAGTAGCTTGTGCTTCCTTTTATTCCGGAGTTATAGGCGATAGAGTCGTATTATGGCTCGCCCGACGCAACAAGGGGGTTCTGGAAGCAGAGCACCGCCTTTGGCTGTTCTCAGTATCCATAATTTTCATACCCGCCTCTTTGATCCTTTGGGGTGTCGGAGCAGCCCATCATATACATTGGTTTGGACTCATAGTTGCCATGTTCCTTATTGCTGGCTCAAACTGTGTTGGTCTTCAATTGTCTGTTTCGTACTGTATCGACGCTTACAAAGATTTGAGTGGTGAAGCCATGGGTATGTACCTTTTTCCATCATCCTGTTTGCGTTCCTCAAGTCCAAGCTAACGACTTTCACAGCTACTGTAATTATCATCCGAAATACAATGAGCTTTGCAATGGGCTACGGTGTCACACCTTGGGTTACTAATATGGGTTATCAAAATGCTTTCATTGTGGCTGCCTTTGCTGGTCTTGCTCAAGTTCTTACGTTCTTCGCGGTGGTTAAATGGGGCAAGAGTTGGAGAAATAACACGAAGGGAAGATACTACAAATACGTGGAGGAAAATGAGATTTTAGGAGTCACGCACTAGGAGAGTTAGAAGTACTGGCAGAGAGGAGATTATGAACAAGATATTAGCTCTCCTTCTGCCAGTCACATTTCCACAAACTTTGGAGTCGACTGAGACTCCAAGAGACATGTGACAATGAAAGGTTGTACCCATCACAACACTCGCAGTATATTGAATGTATTTCATTTGTTTCAACCTTGGCATTGGACACCAATGACCAGCTGCCACATCAAAATTGAACAATATCGTCCGCTCTTGCGTCCGCTCGACAGTATATATCTGTGGTCACGTAATCTGGATCGAATGCACTCACCAACATTAATATTTAAGTTGCGAGCCTGAGAAAACACGAGATGTAAATTTACACGACGTTTGTGCCCTCGCGCATCAAGGAGTACGGTGTTGGATTCGGGATCTCGGAACTTATAAGCATTATATTAAGTGGTGAGACTCGTCCGAACTCAGCTCTAGCTCAGTTGCACGAGGCCTAACTGCAGGAAATTTGGCGATCTCGGGAGGAAACAAGACACTAAGAATAGCTATCATCGGAAGAATAATGAATCGGAAGGTGCAACGGCTGAATCCATCCGCTACCTTATCAATGCCCAGGTACGCAAGGGGATTTGATTATGCTTAAACTGTGAAGGCTGTTGATTTGATTTGACCAAAGTGCCGTTTTCCGTTTGCTCATGAGTTGCCTTTGAATACGAGCTACATGACACGCTCTGCGAATGCTCCACAACAAATGTTCCAACTGGTGGAGGCTTTCGCGAAGAAAACAATCTTATTAGGGGCCAAAGGACGTGCATAACGCCAAGTCCTCGTCATCCGGGAGGAGCCATGACTGAGATGATCTCGAGATGACTTTGTTTTTCTCGAAAGCTTAAGCTGCAATTTCCACTGCAGGCCTTCTCCCATTCCACCACTTCCACCGATGGTAGAGGAGTTCCATATAACGTTGAAAGAAACAAGAAGAGCGATGTGAAAAGAAAAAGGAGGTTGTGACCAAAACATGCGTACCCAGCTATCACAAAATCATTGCATTTGTATGGCCGTCATGATTGGCACCACGAAGTCGGAAAGACCCCTTCATTCGAAATTTTCCGAATCATTAACATTCTTAGCACCAGTTGTAAGGGATCATGCAAGAAAGTCATGTACCGTGCGCACATTCAGCCGTCCAAAGAGATTTCTGGCATGGAAGCATTCATGTTCATCAACATTTCTACGCTTTTTTTTGTTATCAACTTGATCGGGCATGGTTCTAAGACCTCTCTTACCCCACTTACTATCCTTTCTACTCTCAGGTCATTGTGACCTACATGAATATTTTCTCTATACAGTATAATCAGTTCTTGGACCTGCATCTATTTGTAGGAACTATATAAAAAAAAAGAAAACCGTCCCATTTGTCTCATTCAGTGATGGGAATCATAAGATGGCTGCACAAATCCTGCATCCTTGTTGTGCATCTATGGTAGGCTGCACGTTGACGGTTGTACCCATACAAATCGGATTTACTCAGAGTTCTGACCCTAGAAAACTATGTTACTTTTACACACTTCCCTACGTCTCCACTTCTCTGCTCATTGTCGCTGCATATCAGGTCAGCTTGCCTCTGCTTTGGGGGTTTAATAGGAAGTCTATCTCCCTTTGCAACGTTCTTCATTTATTCATTGGTTTTTATAACCCTCACAGTCGCTTCAATTTCTTGAAAACAGTCTCTCCTTTATCATCAGTCTCGACATAAAAGCAGCTGGGTAGAAAGTTTCGCATCTATAATTTTTACTACATATAATTTTGCAACCAACTCATCTATTGAAAGTAATTACACGTCAAATTCCTTCAAGAAACGATCAACATGAAGTCTGTTTCGATCCTCGCCACTGTGGCCTTGGCTTCATTGTCAACCGCACATCCAGGACCTGCCATGCCAAAGTT